TGTAGCGCGCTCTACATGGGGCTGCCCCCGAAGAGTGTTTGAAGACTTCAGTTTGTCCAGAATGCAGCCGCGCAATCGATAGGTACACCCAAGTTACACCTATCCTCCGCAAGCTGCACTGTCTTCCCATTGGTCTCTGGACACGCTTCAAGATGGTAGTCATTACTTTTAAAGCCCTACATGGTTTAGGACCTGACTACCTGAGAGACCGCCTCCTGCCATTTACCTCCCAGAGACCTATAAGATCGCACAGATTAGGCCTCCTCCGGATTCCATCTGCCGGTCAATGTTGGCTGGCGACTCCCCGGGGGAGGGCCTTCTCTGTAGCTGCTCCAGCCCTATGGAACGATCTCCCCGTGGACATCTGGACCCTTACTACTCTCCCGGCCTTCCGCAAAGCGATTAAGACCTGGCTTTTCCAGCAGGCCTGGGGCTGTTGATTTATCCAGCCCCATTTTATGTTATGAATGTTGTGTGATTTTAATGTCTGTATTTTTAATTTTTATATGTTCCCCCTCCCTGCTTTATCTGTAAGCCGCCCTGAGTCTCTCGAAAGTGGGCGGCATACAAGTCCTAATAAACTAAACTAAACGTCCTCAGCAACTTGTACGATCTTTGTTGTCATCCTCTGAACCTTCTCAAGCCTGTCAATATTCAACTGAAAATGAGGAACTCTAAATCATACACAGTATTCCAGGTGTGGTCTCATTAATGCCAAGTAGAGAGGAATAGTGACTTTGTGTGTCTTTGACATGATATTTCTTCAGTGCAGCCTAGAACAATATTAAACCTGCTAGTAACTGTCTCACTCTGCTGACTCCAATTCAACTTGTTGTCAATGTAGCCTTTTAAACTTCCACAATACCCAATCAGCAGAAAGGTATTACCAAGTGAGAATTAAGGGACCTTAACTAGCTTATTAGACAACATATGGCTAGAGAGTGCTATGTTAAACAGTTTATTGATATTGTAAACAAAATCTAAATTCAACAGAATTCTGTGAGTTGAATCCAGAAACGTTAGATTGAAAACAAGGTGCTGAAAAGGGATTATAATAGGAAAGCAGAAATAAGAATCAAGAGGAAAGGAACTTGACGCATTTCAACTGCTTGTGGCCATGAGAGCAAATTACTTGGGGAAGAATAATGTTAGTTTGAGGTAAAGAGAAGAAAGAAGTGACTGTGGCTGATAACTTCAATATTTGTTACTACCAAAACAAACATTTATCCAATATAAAAAAACAAGATGTCAAATCGCTCTGTTTCCAAACACCTCATTTACAAGCAGAAAAAGTTTCCAGTCTCCGTCAGTTCTCTGTCTGGGCAAAAAAATGTTCTGGTGGTGGCAGAAAGGAGTTAGGGGAGTGGGGAGGAGCAGGAGACAGGCACCACAAACACTTTTCGTGCCCAGGAGCTTCCATCGATTCTCCTCTCCCTCAAAGGCAAAGAAACCGTGGCAGATGAAGCTTCCAAAATCCATCAAGTCTCCCTGGCAGAGAGGAGACAGATCTCTGCAAGGTAAGTGAATCAGGCACAGCAGGGAGGGGGAAGCATGAGGTATCTTAGTGGGTTGGGGAGACCTTGGGGGCCTGTTCCATCACTAGGCCCCTCCATGGTCTTCCCCACCTTGAGATACTTCATGTGCGCTTAATGTGTGGACGAAAGGAAGGAGTGATCTCTTTCAAGGTACAAGATTCACTCCTACAGATTCTTGAATTACAACTGGAATGGACAAGCTCCATTCCATTCATAACTCGAGAACTACCTATAGACCGTCATCAAAGTCCTATAAAAATATAAGAGTTACTAGTTAAACAAGCAACACATGAAAATGGCATACTGCATTACTTCTATATTGAATGCAATCAACATTTACTGACTACCTTTGTGGCAATAAGTATGCAAAGTTTAGGAATAAATTAACTTTCTTAAGGGATAATCTGAGTCAGATTTTCAAGTCAATAAATTCTACCCTGAGTTTGAGACAGTCTCCTCCACAAAAACAAAAACACAGATGCACAAGTTGTCCCCTGTTCTTCACAACACAGGTCAATGGAAGTAAATCAGAAAAAACTCTTAAGACTTCAGAAAAATGGTGATTGATATTTAAAACGGATGCAAAACCATTGTCACACTTTGGCTTCAGTCAACTCAAATAAACAGACAGTCTACAGATGGAGAAAATGCAACTTCATTCTTACTTTTGTAGAGTGGCTGTTTAACAAAAATCACTCCTGGAGAAAGGTATATAGTATCCTCTGCAGGCTACTCTTGCATTCATCAATCTATTGTAAGGAAAACACTGAACAAGAGTAATGTACATAGGAGGTTCCCCTAAAAGGGTACGGCCATTTGTCTCAAGC